TGAGTTCATGCATCTGTGCTACTTTTATTTGCATATATTGAATGACCACTAAAGGTTTATGCAAAGGTTTACATCCTTCTTTATTGTATATTTTATTATTTAAAATGGCCCCCTTTGTTAATGTATTGAGCACTTTGGGCTTAATTTCCACCGCAATCATCATATTTCTAGATGTGCTTGCATTTTCTTGCACTTGCCTGGTGTGTCATATGTTTTTTAAATGTTTAATTATAATACAGAAAACTGCACAGATTATGCACATTTAGCTTGATGATTTTTTAACAGACTGAGCGAACACGCACAACCACCACCTAGATTAAGAAATAGAACGTGACTAGCACCCAGAAGACACCCCCTTGTGTTCCTTTCCAATCCCCAGCCTCCTCCCAACGGGGGACCAATATCCTGCCTTCTAGCGGCAATAGATTGGTTTTACATGTGTTCGAAAGTTATATAAACACAATCGTACAGTGTTGACTCATAGCTCTTTTGGGTCTGGCTTCTTTGGCCGATGCATTAGATGAGATTCATGTGTGTTGTCTGTAGTCACTTGTTCATTCCTGTTGCTGTATAGTACTTCCTTGTATGACTGTAAGACCATTTATTTATCTAGTCTGATGTTGATGGGCGTTTGCCTAATTTTCAGGTTTGAATAAAGCCACCCTGAACATATCCTGTCTTTCAGTGAACATGTGTTCGCATTTCTCAGGAGTACACTCCTAGGAGGATATTGCCTATGTTCAGCTTTCGTAGATAATACCACACCCAACAGCTCTGCAAAGTGTTTGTACTCTTTTGTGCTCCTTAAAAACAACTTACGGGTTTCCGCCCCTCGTATCCTCACCGGGTCTCTTGGTTATTTGCCATCGTTTTCGTTTTAGCCATTTCTGGTGGGCATGAAGGCATGTCTGATTGCAGTTTATATTTCCTTGCTAACTAATGAAGTTGAGCATCTTTTCCTCGGCTTATTCGCCACTCGGGTATCTTCTTCGGGAAGTTCCTGTTCCTTTTGCTCTTTTCCTCTGGCTCCTATTGGTTTCTAGGAATTCCTGATACATTCGAGACATGAATTGTTTGTCAGATACAGGTATTGCAGTTAACTTCCCCCACTGTGGGATTTGCCTTTACACTCAAAGTTTTGGGTTTTTTTTTAATTTTTATTTATTTTTGAGAGAGAGAGACTATGTGTGAGCAGGGGAAGAGCAGAAAGAGAAGGAGACACAGAATCCGAAGCAGGCTCCCAGGCTCCGAGCCATCAGCACAGAGCCCGACGCGGGGCTGGAACTCACGAACCGCGAGATCATGACCTGAGCCGAAGTCGGACGCTCAACCGACTGAGCCACCCAGGCGCCCCTACACTCTTAATTTCATCTTCTGATGAACAGAGGTCTTTAATGTTAGTGTAGTCTAATTTAATAACCTTTTATTCTACCAGATAGCAAAACCTGATATGAGGCACATTAATTAAAGCACGGTAGTGCTGGTCCAAGAATAGACAAATAGACCAGTGGAAATACAGAGTTCAGGAATGAACCTCCACATATACAGTCACAGAGCAACATTGCAGAGCAGTGGAGAAAGGGTAGTCTTTTCAATAAGCCATGCTGGATCACCTTGATATCCATGTGGAAGAAATGAATCTTGACCCTAACACATACCATGCACCAAAACCCTTCCCGAGAGGACTATAAATCTAAATGTGAAAGAGCAATAAAAATTAAGAAAACATGGGACATCTTTATGACCCTGAGGTAGGCAAAGCTTTCCTAACTAAGACATAATGAGTGCTGACCATAACAGAAAGAATGATAAATAGCACAGCATGTTTCTGTCCAGTGCTTCATCTCACATCTTTGTCTTTTTTATTTAGATGTGTGGCGATTGTATTTTTGTTTTGTTAACCGGTCCCATCGTCTTTACCTTTTATGGCAGGATTCAGCTCATTCAGTTTGGTTGAATTGTAACATATTAAATTTCAGGGCGCCTGGGTGGCTCAGTCAGTTAAGTGTCCAGCTCTTGGTCTCGGCTCAGGTCATGATCCCACGGTTTGTGAATCTGAGCCCTACATCGGGCTCTGTGCTGATGGTATGGAGCCTGCTTCAGATTCTGTCTGTCCTTCTCTCTGCCCCTACCCTGCCTGTGCTCACTCTTTCTCTCTCAAATTAAAAAAAAATAATTTGGGGCGCCTGGGTGGCTCAGTCAGTTGAGCATCCTATTTTGGCTCAGGTCATGATCTCACCACTTGTGAGTTCGAGCCCCGTGTCGGGCTCTGTGCTGACGGCTCAGAGCCTGGAGCCTGCTTCGGATTCTGTGTCTCCGTCCCTCTCTGCCCCTCTCCTGCTCGCACTCTGTCTCCCTCTCTCAAAAATAAATAAATATTAAAAAAAATAATAAAAAATAATTTTTAAAAGGTCTTAATATCTTGGGATTCTAATAGTTTGGAGTTTTGATTATTTTTATCAATTTCTGCTAGTAGTTGCCTTCACCTCTCTTACAAGTATGATGGTCTATATTTTCTCTATTACTAGATCCGATAATGTTGTACTAGTATTTGAATCTACTAATAGAGGTATGTGATTGATTGGCCTTCCCCTCCTCATTTCACTCAGTAGATTTTTCCAGGGTATTTTAAAATTTCCAGTTAGTAATGATCTTATTTATTGAAAATGCCCAATTACATTATTTTTCTTTATTCAGATATAACTGTGTATTATGAGAATCATTTCTCAAGACTGCTTTCCTCTGATTTTGAGGTTTCTGTTACTATTCAGTTTATAATTGTTTAGACTATTCCCTGGAGTATTCTCCTGAGATAGGAATATTGGCATAATGCTGTACATGCTTTTGTGTCTAAAATCGTCTTTTGCGCTGACAGAAGAATGGTATTGAACTAGGATGGGTTTAAAATTCTCGGATCTCAGCCCTTTTCTCTCAATAATTTGTAGATGTTTTCTTCTACTATGATTCCTATTGGTGCCAGTAAAAAGGCTAGTGCCATTGTGAGCCCTTTCCGTTGTAAATAATGTGTTGTTTCTTCCTGGAAGTGTTTTGGGTTTGCTTTTTATCCTTTAAATTCAGTGCCAAATCAGATCTGGGGTTGATTTGGTTCCTCTGGGAGTCCAGGATTGGGGGGATTTCTGTGGGGGAGGATCAGTGAGTTAGGGTCCATTAGGATTAGATAATCTAAAGCCTATAGATGTGATTCATATTGGAGCAGTGAGTGACAATCGGGAAATTCTTGAGGTTTTATAAGAGTTGGAGATGTAAATATCTGAAGGCATCGATTAGCCCATGCGAGTTATTGATTGGAACGTGGAGGTGGTGAATGATTGATTGCAAGCCTGGGATTGCAAATCGTCGGGAGTCAGTTTTGGTGGCCCTATAGGAGTCATTGATTGGGACCTGTGGATATCTGTAAATGCAGGACTGTGTGAGTTAGTATGTGAAGGACTGTTATTGAAGTTTTGATGGGAGTCCCTCATTCTATATATGGGCTGTGAGTTATGGGGTCCTCTAGGAGGTCAGGTTTGGCCCTCAAAGGGCATTGAGTAGATCAGTGATTGGTTTTCTACTGAGGGTCAATTGCCTGTATTGGTGATTATTTGAGGAGCCTCTGGAAACCAGTTGATGGTGCCATCTGGGACACGGTTTTGTCAAGCAGTGGGGGTTACAGATTTAGGAGCCTATGCGGACATGCTGGTTTTCTGGACCCAGGTGGGAGCTGGGGAAGGGAGGCAATGAATTTATGTTTTCATCTATGGCAGAAGAGAGTGGGCTTTATAAGTTGCCCAGAACATACACTGAATTATACAGAAACTCAGTTTATACACGTGTGACATGATCATCCCCTAGCCAGAGCACTTTAAGGGCAGCAGGAAATGGAAATCATGTTTTTTATGACTCTGCCATGTACAGAACACCATCTGGCATGGTAGTTAAGAAAATGTACTGTAGAGCCCCGCGTACCTGGCTTCGAGTCCCTGTCCTTCCCCCTAATCTGAGTGATCTTGGGGCAGATTTCTTGATATCTCTGAACACCTCTATCTGATGATAAATGGGAATAATAATAGTAGAATTACCTAGTTCCCAGGATGAGTTTGAAAATTAAATGAGGTACCTGATAAAACATGCCTTGCAACCTTGTAATAATAGCAATATTTAATATCACTGGAATATGTTCCAGGTAGCAAGCAGGGGTGAGTGCTTTAGAGGCTTTATACCATTTATCTCTAACATCCCTATGAGGCCAGTGTTTTCATCCTCAATTTTAAGGTGAAGGAACTCAGACCAAAGTGACTTGCCCCAGATTCTAGCTAGGACATAGAAGACCTGGAATTCAAAGCCTCATTCATTTTATACCAAATCCTATGAGTATTTTTTTTTCATGTTATATGCTAATGCTTGGTGTCGGTTTTACTAAACTTCTCTCTTTCACAGTATCCGGCACAGAGAGCTGCCCGCCTTGGTGCCCCCAGGAGGCATCTGTGGGGTGGCTGCTGCTTGACGGACTATGTGGGCACTGTCTTTCTAGGGCTTCTTGGAGTCTCTGAGGAGCCCCTGGGCCAGACCCCGCAGTGAAGGCTGCAGGACCCACCTCCCGGCCCCAGCAGCTCTGATTGAGTCCACAGGTGTCTACCTGACTTCAAGCTCCTGGGAAGAGTGGAGTCGTCAGCAAGAGAGCCTGAGAGCTGAGGCCCGGCGGGAACATGCCAGCTGACCAGAGTTCTCCCCGGTGGTCCTCGGTCCTGGCTCCAGAGGGACATGGCAGCTCGTGTGAGGTGAGCAGGGAGAGGACCCCACGGGCAGGAATTCATTCAGTGAGGACACAGCCCAGACCTGTCAGCAGGCCCTCAGGGAAGGGGCAGAGGGGCCACAGAAGTGGCAGATTCTGGGCTACCAGATCACCATCCACCTGCTGTCCCACACCCAGAGCCCTGTGTGTTTCAATGGACCTGTGATGTGGCTGATGGAGGAGAGGTGGGATGGGAGGGCCACCCTACATCTGGGGTCCTAGCCAGAGAGAGACGCTTCCCCCGCCGACCCCCGACACAGACCCTGCCCTCTCCATTGGCTCTTCGCAGATGCTCAGCTGATCCACACTAGACCCTCCTTTTCCCTTTGTGTCTGGAGATTTGCTGATTTCTCCTCTATCCTGATCTAGGCAGAAAAATCCCTTTTTGGAACTGAGAGGATGGCAGGGAAATAGGGTGACAACATTCTCCAGGGTCCTTCTAGGTCTTCCTCCTCTTTTCGAAGATGGTAATGGCCTGAGAAGGGACATGACTTGCCCCAGCCTCTCAGATTGTGAGTGACAACACTGGACTGGGACCAGGTCTCCTGAATGTGTCCTCCACCCTTGCCGCACTACAGCCAAACCAAGTTTCCCACTAAAAGTTCCCCCTTGAGAGGCGCCTGGGTGGCTCCGTCGGTTAGGCGTCTGACTTCGGCTCAGGTCATGATCTCACGGTTCGTCAGTTCGAGCCCTGCGTCGGGCTCTGTGCTGACAGCTCAGAGCCTGGAGCCTGCTTCACATTCTGTGTCTCCCTCTCTCTCTGCCCCTTCCCTGCTCATGCTCTGTCTCTCTCTGTCTCAAAAATAAATAAACATTAAAAAAATTTTAAAAAAAAAGGTCCCCCTTGAGAATCTGTAAACAGGGGAACGTGATGAAAGAGCCAGACCCTGCCCGACAGCCCCTCCTTCGGACCTTCCTGGATGCTGTCACCTCTGGGACAGGCTCCTTGTCACAGGGGCTCAGGGTCATATGGTCATTAGGATCATAGTAAACATTAAAAAATTATTTTGGTTTTATTATTTCACAACTTCACTATTTCCCAATAAAACGTCAGAAAATGCAGGTAAACAAAAAGAAGAGAATAAAACATTACTTGTAATTCCAGCATTACCCAAAGTAAACCATTGTTAATATTTAGCTATATTTCCTTTCAGTTGATTTTTCCTTTGTATGCGCATACGTGCACGTATATGGGTATATGTGTGGGGCTGTGAGTGTGCATACGTACCATATACATATGCATTATATAGCTCAAGTTTGAAAATGGAATCACAGCATTTGGTTGCCTCCTTTCTATTTATTTTTATTTTTTATTTTTAAGTTTATGTATTTATTTTGAGAGGGAGCGAGAGAGAGAGCGCGTGAGCAGGGGAGGGGCAGAGAAAGAGGGGGGGAGGGCGCCTGGGTGGCTCAGTCGGTTAAGCGTCCGAC